CCACACTGGTTTTTCCACACTGCCTTGTCCACACTGCCTGTCCACACCACCTATCCACACTGCTTTGTCCATATTGCCTTGTCCATACTGCCTATCTACACTGCCTATCCACACTGTCTATCCACACTGCCTTGTCCACAGAAATTCCTGCATTTCACTCTTCCCACACAAACAAAGCAGCCGCTTTCAGTCCCAAACATTGTACTTTGGGCCACCTGTCTCCTGAGGTCAGGGCTACTAGTCTTTGTGGGCATGTGACCACAAGCCAGACAAGCCATACAAGAGCCTGTTGCTTGGTTTAATGCTGTGCCGTCACCATCTTGAAATTCTTAATACTTTTAAAATAAGGGCCCCCCACATTTTCAGTTTGCACTGTCTCCCACAATTACATGGCCAGCTTTGCCTGTGATCTTCTTTATTGAGGCATACTCATTGAGAGATCTAGTGCAGAGCGGCAAGATGCTCAGAAGTGAGCCACATGGACCCTGACACATACAGAAAAACATCTAAAGTAGACAATGTTAAGCACACACACGCATGCACACACATAAAAACACACATTCAAACATGCAGAAGACATTGAGATGCAACTAGAAGTAAACAACCGAGTAGAAAAAAAATAGAATACCAACTGTTTGGCCAATACAAGGAAGTAGGTGGGGACACACATTTTTTAAGTGCTTACTGTATGCTGGGTCCTATGCCTTGATGCTCTACACATCATTTCATCCAAGAATGAAACAGAGGCTTAACTAGCTCCCCTGTGGACAGGGCTTCTTGTATGAAGAGCTGAATAAGAGGTGAAGGAAAAAAACCTTAACTGCCTCTCCCTTGAGTAGAGGATGTCCAGGGGGAACATCTGTTAAGACTAAACTTTCCACTCGGTTCTTCAGGTTCTAAATTTCAGCAAGAGTGGTGAAAGGGAAAAGGCAGGCCCTGTAGAGAGAAATGGGAAGTACGGGGGTTGGGAAGAAGTAGGTGCTAAAATGAGGGAAACCAAACAAAGAAACATAGAAGTTAGACACACCTGTTCCTTGACATTCAATGACTTCTCTCTCCTCTTCCCAAACATCTTAGCTATTCTTAGGAATGAGAAGTACTATACTACCCTGCTCCTCAGTAGTGATCCCCTAGGTTTCTCTGTTGAGGTTCTGCCTCCCTGGACTAACCCACTATCATCTCTTGCCTAGACTATGACAATGGCCCCTAGGGGCACTCCCTGTACCACTCTGGCCCCCATAGCCCATGCAAAGCCAGAATGGCCTTTAGGTAATCAATCCTCTCCCTCCTGCCTCCGACCTTGTTAATTAATTTGGTCATGAACTCAGCAATTCCCAGCCACCCTCATCCCACCAAGCATAATCCAATGGATCGTGTTGCTTTCCTGCCTGCCCCCTTTCAGTGCTTTCCCACTGCACTTACAGTAAACTCCAAATCCTCAATATGATCTGCTGGGTTCACCACACCCTGGCTCTGCCCGCCTCCCTGATGTTGCCTAATATCCCCTCTTCCCCATACCTTTCTTTTTATTTCTGGAAGCCCACTTCTTCCTCTGAGCCTCTGCACTGCCATCTCCTCTGTCCCTGGTCCTTCCAGTGGCTGCTGGCTCCTTCTTACCTATCACTCACGTTTTACCTTAAATTCCTCCTTCTCAGAAGTTTCCTTTCCCGACCACCTTATCTCAAGGAGCTCCCGCCTCTCCCTCTACTGCATTGTCTATCACACCACTCTGCCTCATTTTCTGTAGGGCACTCACCGCTATTGCAAATGCATTGTACTGTTGCTGAGCTCAACCCACTAGAATGCAGGTTCCCTGTGAGCAGGAGCTCTGTTGCTCGTCGCTCATTTCCAGCATCTAAGATAGTGCCTTGCATGTGGAAAGTGCTCAAAAAAATATTTTGTAAAGGAATAGATAGATGCCTAGAACCCTGCAGACTTTAACATTTTTTCAAGGGGAAATACCAAAATTACTCCTCACAGCCTAGAATAACTAAAGGGTAGATCTCCCAATCTGCGATCATGCTTGCCATCTTCTACAGTATACATCAGGAATAACATATACGTGGTATCAGGACGAAGGGCTATGCCAAAGACATCTCCTTATTCTGGTCTTTATCAAAGGATCATTCTTCCACTAAGGTTCAACTAAACAACCCCCCCCCCCAAAAACAACAAAACAAAACAAAACAAAACAAAACAAAACAACACAACAACAAACAGGCACTAGCTCATGAATTCAGGGCTTAAAGGAAATTAGATATACACCTATTTTCAGTCCTGGTCCTATTTATTTGGTTTTTACTGGAATCTACCTAATTAGGAACAATGACTGTCTATGATGTCAGCAAATATATGAGCTATCTTAACCTAGAAATATAAGAAAGTATAAGGAAATGAGAATGACCCAGAGGGAAGAAGCTAGCAGTGCAAAAAAAAAAAAAAAAAGGGAAAAAAGAAAAAAAAAAAAGATCAAGCTCAGCATTAGTTGTAAATTCCATACAGAAGTTCAAAGGAATATAGGTTGATGGAGCTTCTCAGCTAATATTTTCATGCAAAATGAATTGAGTTAAACATAATGCAACAAAATCTTCAACACTCTACTGTATTTTGCAACTTAAAAATCCAATTTTGTATTTTATGCTACACTTAGCATTCCTTCACAACACAGTTCTGTCAATGAGACACTTCCTTCGTGTCAAAAAAAAAATTCCGATAATCAGAAAAACAGCTGTGTAGATGACTCACACTAGGTTCTGCTAGGAGAGAATTTCTGTAAAAGAGGCAAGTACCAGAGAGTTCAATTGTAATTACATGTCACAACTTTCCCAATTGAAAACCTTTCCTGTATCTCGAGAAAAGTAGTCAAGTAATCGGAAGGGGCACATGAGTACGCACCGAGCAGCGTGAGGCAAATAGAAGGGGGCTTTCATCAAAGAGGCGAGGGAAAGCGGATGTGGGGCTAAATCAACAGAAGAGCATGCTCCCACAATTTACTAATGTCCATGTTTGCCCTGTATGATCGCTCCTCCTCTGATAAAGCTGTGGCCTTAGTAAATGATTGGGAAGGAAGAAAGCAACTCACCTTTGACTGCAAACCATGTAAGTGTCCCAGGGTGAGATCAGATATTTTGATCACCACAGGATAAATTATGGAGAAGCTGCAGTTTCGATGCAGGTGCGGGACTACCAGGGTAAACCTTCCATTTGGGGTCTGGGAAATGACATTGCAGGCTTTGCGGAAAAACAGAATCACATTGTCATTATGGGTATGCAGGGTTCTAATAGAAATTTATCCTATCTGGGGCGACTGGGAGGCTCAGTCGGCTAAATTTCCGACTCTTGATTTCAACTCAGGTCATGATCTCACAGGTTCATGCAATCAAGGCCCATGTCGGGCTTCATGCTGATAGTGCGGAGCCTGCTTAGGATTCTCTCTCTCTCCATCACTCTCTCTGCCCCTCCTCCACTCCCTCTCTCTCTCTCTCTCTCTCAAAATAAATAAATATTTTTTAAATGTAATAAAAAATCACTGGTGATGTGCAGACATGGTCAGAAGGTTCTAGGTGGCAAGAGTGCTTCTAATCTTGGGGCACCTGGGTGGCTCAGTCGGGTAAGCATCCGACTTCAGCTCAGGTCATGATCTCGCAGTTTGCCCTGTGTCGGACTCTGTGCAAACAGCTCGGAGCCTGGAGCCGGCTTTGGAACATGTGACTCCCTCTCTCTCTGCCCCTCCCCTGCTAATGCTCTGTCTCTGTCTCTCAATAAATAAATAAATGTTAAAAAAAAAAAAAAAAAGAATGCTTCTAATCTCAATCTCAATCTCAGGGAGTTACCTTGTTTACAACAAGCACAAGACTTAAATTAGTAATTAATCAAACAACACTAGCTAGTGGAAGTTCTAGAAACACTTCATTAACTAGGGTCCAAGTTCCAGCTGAAAGTCTAGAAAAAATAAAGGCTCAAAGGTAAAGCCAGAACTAAAACCTTGCCTGTCTGAAACATTCACTCATTGAACTTGGAACCATAATGATATATTTTTTTAATGTTTATTTAGTTTTGAGAGAGACAGAGACAGAATGTGAGTGGGTTAGGGGCAGAGAGAGAGGGAGACAGAGAATCCAAAGCAGGCTTCAGGCTCTGAGCTGTCAGCACAGAGCCCAACACGGGGCTCGAAGTCACAAGCTGTGAGATCATGACCTGAGCCAAAGTCGGACGCTCAACTGACTGAGCCACCCAGGCGCCCCAGAATCATAATGATTTTTTTTAAAATAATGAAGTAAATAAATAATAAAATTGTTACAAAATAGACTGAGAAAAATAGAAGAACGGTAGAGGAACAGTAGAAAGAAAGGGAGAGAGAGAATCCGAAGCAGGCTCTGCATTGTCAGTGCAGAGCCCAATGCAGGGCGCGAACCCACAAACCATGAGATCGTGACCTGAGCTGAAATCAAGAGTTGGAGGCTTAATTGACTGAGCCACCCAGGCACCCCAAAGATTTCCGACTTCTAACCACACAAATATAGGAGAAACATTTCATGTTGCTTTCTGGGATTATTCTAGCTCTCAAAATAGCCTTGCGGGGGTGGGGGAGGGGTTCTTTCAAAAATTCTCTTTTTTAAAAAATAAAAATTAGAATATAATACATTATTCTTTGGCAGATAAGGCCCCATTCTTCCACCACACAAAGTGTCAACATTAATACTATTGTATGCAACCAAAAATGAGTGATGTTTTATTTTCCCGATTTTTAAAAAACTATTTTTCTCCATTTAACTCTGTAAATATATAGATGCATATATATATTTCGCTTCATGGGGAAAAATAATAAGCAGATGAATGAACTAATTTTGATTAGAATAATGTGTTTTAGGCCTGGGCTGTTCAGTTTTATACAGCATCTATGTTTGTATCCACCAGAAACGGAATAAGTTAGAGAGGTGGACTCAGAATTAGAGGGCAATGTTGAGGTCCTCTGGTCCAACCCTCTGCTCAGGACATGAACTCTGTCTACCACATCCCAGAGATGCAGTCTTTCAGCCTTTGCCTAAATATCTCTAAGACTACAACTTCAGATCTGATCCCTCAAGCGTATCCAAGATTAATGGAATGACATGGAGGGATTACAGTTTGTCACCGAATCCATTGTCATGCCTCAGATTAGAATAAGACTAAAGAGAAAAAAATAAAATTCTACCCACCAAAACTTAATATCCTACCTAGCCTAGGAAATAAGTTGAAAACTGTGAATTGATTTTCAGAGCAATGAATAGGAAATATCCTTTAGGTCATTTCTAATGACAAAAAAAAATTTCCATTCAAATCATTCCTCACTTCAAGTTTCTTAAGTCTGGTGCAATCACACTACCTATGAAAAGTGGATCTGACACTCCCTCCCTCCAAGTCCTTACTGACTGAGAAGAGAGGGAGCCCACTTACGAAAGAGGTTGGGATCTGTCTTTATGGTTACTGTAAATCCGTTTCCTGGTTGACGAACCCGGAAGAAGATCATGGCCACATTCTGGGAGGATCTGATGCTCCTTCGGCTAAGACCACTGTCACAGAAATCTATGTACCGCTCAGTTGTGGGGAGAGGATGATCCTGGGAACTGGGGAACTTCTCCCCCTTGAGAATCCAACCATCAAATACCTTCCAACAAAAAACACAGAGAGAGATGATCATCTCCACCAACTCCTGAGGTCACAGGTGTGTTGAAATTCTTACCTAGCAACGCACCTTCTGTCCTATGTCCGTCTGTGAGCAAGGGACAACCTGCACTTCCCTGCCCACTGCTTTCCATCTATATATTTTTTGACCGTGAAGGTTGTCTGCAAGTATTATTGTTAATTAATGATTGGGTTTTTTCCTCCATAAACCTTAAAGTATCCAAAGCAAGTAAACTTTATTATACTCTGTTTTATAATTCCAGCCTCCTTGGTACCTGAAACTACAGCCAATATACATTTTTATCTTGGTCATATTTTCCACACATCCCATCTTCAGAAGAATTCCATACAAGCATAATGTGGGTTTCACTTGGTCTCTTCCTTCTCCTCGTTGACATATAAACAAAACATCTCAAAACTAACAAAAGAAAAAAACTAGAGCAGCAACTTCACCTACTTGCCCATGGTTATATGTGCCCATTTTCCTCACTTTGAAACTTTTGTTTCATATTAAAATACCAAGAACTGCTTCAACACTCAAACAGCAATGGCTGTTAGGCCACTTAGGGCTTTCTACCTTCACCTGTTAAAGTCAGCTTGTTGGACAAATGGTCAGAGTCTATTGATGTTACTGTTAAAATCACCACAGGTCTCCAATGTAACGGGTTGAGCCTGGTTCACCCTGGCAAAATCACCAGCTACAAAGTGCTTCCGCGGATTGGTCCTCTTCTAAAAGGAGTCTGACAGATTCCAAAATCATTCCACTTGGGAGGTTTTTAATCATGATCCTTTTAACGGGGCTGTGTAACTCCATCAACCGTCCCAGGCTGACCCGGTAGACTTAGAGAGACCGACTAGGAGGGGGCATGTACTGAGGCCGGGGGACTCGGCCTTCCACCTGCCTCCGACTAGACTGGCTCTCAGCATCCCGCCCAGAGGCCCGGGCCCCAGGGCTTCCAAACCGAGTCCCCCGGGGAATTCAAGACAGCTCCCGCGAGCCTGCGACAGCTCCCCAGAGCCAGGGGCCGGCCTCAGAAGCGGGGCTGGCCCTCCTCGTGGCCCCGAGCGCCGGTGCCAGTCTGGATCAGTTTTCGTGTAACACAGCGCTTCTCGCCGCAAGTTCAGTCAAGTCTTTGGGGGCGCCCGGGTCCCAGGAGCGCACGGAGGGGAAGTCAAACAACCGCCGCCGGAGCTCCGGGCGGGGTTCGCGCCCCGCGGCGGTGCGGGGTGGGGGGGCGCCTCTCCCGCTCGGCCACCAGCCGGCTCCACGCACCGAGCCCCACGCCGGGCACGGCGCCCCGGCTCACCCCACTCGGGGCCCCGCGGCGGGAGCGTGCGCCGCGAGGAAGCCTCACCTTCAGGAAGTCGCCGCCCTGGCAGTCGATGGAGACCAGGTCGTAGTGGATGGTGACGAACTCTTCGGGCTCGCCGATGAGGAAGGCGGCGCAGTGCAGCTGCGGCCGGTCGGCGGTGAAGGTGAACTGGCCCGGGAGGCTCAGCATGTCCAGGCACCCTGGGGGAGGGGCAGTGGGGCCAGGGGGCCGGGGCTGCGGCCACCGACGCCCCGTCCCCGGCCGGCCCCTCCCCGCGGGCCCCCGTTCCCGGGTCCGCGGCGCCTGGTCCCCACGCCGAGCGCGTCACCCACCCCCGGCGGGCCCCTGAGCACGGGGATCGCGCCCCCGGCCGGCCTGGCCAGCCCCTTCCCGGAGGTGCCCGGGGCCCCGTGAGCGGGTGCGGAGCCCGGCCTCGTCACCTCCCCGCTGCCCCCGGATGCGCGCCGGCACCCCGACTCACGCAGCGCGCGGCGGTACAGCGGCTCCCCCGCCAGCTCCCGCTTCAGGTTGGCGCCCAGGAACCGGAGAGGGTCGTGGTCCGCAGCTTCCCGCAGCTGGCGAGGAAAACGCGTCAGTCCGAATGAGTTCAAGACTGCGGGAAAGGGGACCCGCAGCGGGGCACTCTCCCTGCCCCGCAGCGAAGAGAATAAAGTGAAGGGATCCAGGTCTCCCGCGTCCGCGTCCGGAGCAGAAGAGGTCTCAGACCCTTTTCCTCAGACCAGGGTGTCCCCAGGGGCCAAGGGAAGGACGTAGTGGCGAGGAGGAAGACCAGGAGAAAGAGGGGGCAGAAGATAGGGAAGAAAGGGCTAAGCCCAACACGGGCTGAGAGCTGAGGCAGGAGACCCACCCCCAAGGCTGGACACACACACACACACACACACACACACACACACACACACACGGAAGATGTGACGGCTCAGTCCGGAGATCGCTCACCTCTAGGTACCGGCTCTCCCCTCTTAGAGCCATCAAGATGAGAATGAAGTGACACTGAAGTTTGAAGGAAGGCGACATGCCGGTCTTGCCTCTGCAGCTGGTCGGCTGGGCTCTGGAGGTCTCAGGATTTGCTTCCCAAAACTACGCCCAGGCTGAGAGCTAGAAGCTGGTAGGGTCCCTTTGCTGGGTCTCTTTTATAGAGCAGTGAGGAGGGGAGGCTCTCTGCCCCTTAACTGATCTGAGCTCAGTAACCATGGGTTACCCTGTCTCAGTGACAAAGTGCGTGCTGATGACGAGGGTCCAGCTCTCAGCCACAAATTCTCAGAGTGGTCCAGCATTATTCACCAAGAATGATGTTAGGCACTTAAAACTTATTGAACTAAACTGTGGGACAAAGAAGGAGGTAAGGATAGAAAATAAAGGAAGGCGTTTGGCTTGACCTGCCAAATGCTGAATTATCGTTTCCTGTGGATATTTAGGGAATTTTCAGTGTTGCAAAGCCAAGTGACAAGGTTACACACATACATAAAATACCCAAACAGATAATCTTATCGTGCAGGCTTGTCCCAGAACCTTGATGGAACCATGCTGGAAATCGTCAGAGATTATAGTGTTTGTGCAATTGCTCTTGTCTCTCAGGAAGGAACTTGAGGAGTTTTTAGCTCCAAAGAGAGCTGAATAGAAGCCGTAGTCTGATTCTGCAGAATATGGCAACAATGCAACTCAAACTTTCTTTCTGTCCCTTAGTCTTTGCTTTATCCTGGTCCAGTTTCTTGTAAGCATTTCCCTAACGGAAAGCTAACTCTGGCATCTGTGAACTTCTGGATTTTCACCTAGTTTTGTCATTTAGCCCAAATGTGTACACCATAGGACACACTCCTGGGCCAGCTAACGGTAACCATGACCTTGGCATCCATCTGAACGAGTGAGAGATGAAGTCATTCCATTTCACACCTTCAAATCCTTGGATTATTTGAATATTCTGGTAGAAAGAACTGCCCGGAAACCTTACTATAACTGCTTATCAGCAACTGTACAGGGCTAAACAAATGACTTAGAGATCCAGAAATAAGTATCTCTGCTGATTAGACAGAAGATGGTTGCTTCCCCTTCATGTCAAAAGTTATGGAAAATATGGGGATACTAAACTTTTGGCTTTCCAATGTATGTGCTAAGCAAGGCAGCTACAAAGTCTAAAAACCTTGTCTTGTTTTACCTCTGCCTGACAGAAAACATGGTACTACCCTTAGCTTTCTTTGTTATTAAAATTAGTACAAATAATGAGACGTTAATACAAAATTTCAGTCAAGGAAATGGTTATATTATGTTTATAAATACTCAAAATTAAGTAGTAATTTGCCTAGTGGTATAGAACTTGGTATTTCCTTATCTTACTTGTTTAATTGGGAGGCCTTCCTACCTCCTCCATTTTTGGAAACAATCCTCAGACCGCAGAGAGTGTGACGGGGAAGCGAACCCAAAGGTCATGAACGCTGGCCACCATGTTCTTCTCTCCATCCTGGGACTGTGTAGATGTCTACATTTCAGAAAGGGCGTAAAGAGAGGAATCAAACAATACAAAAATAAATGGTTTAACACCAGCTTGCTTGGTCTGAAACACACCAGGCCATCTTCATGCCTGTCTCCCTCCCTGTTTGTGCCTGAGGAAGCTTTCAGGCTTTACCATCAACCTAGCCATAGCCTTGGCCTATTCCCAGAATTCAGCCTGGCATTCAGCTTGGGAAACTCTAGTTTATCCCATTTTGAGGGTCTGGCTTTTGTAGCGTCACCACGGAGACATTCTTTTCCAATCTTCACATGCTCACACACACACACACACACACACACACACACACACACACACTACTGATGTTCCTTACATGCATTCATGATGTTCCCTCCTCAGGAAGTGCACACTGGAAGATAAATAAGGGCAAATATAACCACAGATAGATAACATTCCATTTTATGTAACACCCCACAAATGATCACATATGGGTGAACTTTATTTCCACCAAATGTGTTATTTTCTCCAAGTTGGAAAATATCTACTAAGCCAATAGAAATTGTATCTTGGTTTTTTTTAATTAAGAGTAACTATAGGAGAAAATATTTATAAATGATATATCTGATAAGGGGTTAATATCCAAAAAATATAAAGAACTCACACAGGTCAACACCAAAAAATACCCTCAAACAGTCCAAAACAAACAAACAATCTGATTTAAAAATGGGCAGAGGATGCCTGCCTGGTTCAGTTGGTGGAGTGTGCAACTCTTGATCTCGGGGTTGTAAGTTCGAGCACCACACTGGGTGTAGAGATTACTTAAAAATAAAATCTTAATAAAATAAAATAAAATAAAATGGGCAGAGGAGCTGAAGAGATATTTTTCCAAAGATATAGAGATGATCAACAGACACATGAAGAGATGCTCAGCATCGCTCATCATCAGGGAAATGCAAATCAAAACCACAATGAGACATCACCTCACACCTGTTGGAATGACTAAAATCAAGAACACAAGAAACAAGTGTTGGTAAGGATGTGGGAAAAAAGGAACTCTCGGGGCGCCTGGGTGGCGCAGTTAGTTAAGCGTCCGACTTCAGCCAGGTCACGATCTCGCGGTCCGTGAGTTCGAGCCCCGCATCGGGCTCTGGGCTGATGGCTTGGAGCCTGGAGCCTGTTTCCGATTCTGTGTCTCCCTCTGTCTCTGCCCCTCCCCCGTTCATTCTCTGTGTCTCTCTGTCCCAAAAATAAATAAACGTTGAAAAAAAAATAAAAAAAAAAAAAAAAGGAACTCTCGTTCGCTGTTCATGGAAATGTAAATTGGTATAGACACTGTGGAAAACAGTATGGAAGTTCTTCAAAAAACGAAAAACAGAAATACCATATGATCTAATAATCCCACTATTGGGTATTTACCCAAAGAAAACGAAAATATTAACTCCAAAAAAATATATGCACCCTTGTTTATTGAAGCATTATTTATAATAGCCAAGACATGGAAGCAACCTAAGTGTCCATCAACAGATAAATAGACAAGGAAATGTGGTATATATACACAAGGGAATTTTGCTTAGCCATAAAAAAGGATGAAATGGTGCCATTTGAGACAACATGGATGGACCTAGAAGGTATTATGCTAGGTGAAATAAGTCAGACTGAGAAAGACAAATACCATATGGTTCCACCAATAAATGGACTCTAAAACAAAGAATAATAAATCAACAAACAAAAAGCAGAATCAGAACTATAAAATACAGAACATAAACTGAATAAAACTCATTGTTAACCAATAACAACAAAAGACTAATTTTCAGTTGCTTTCAAGATGATATGCTGTTTGAATAAATTTGGCTGTTTTTAATGCAATCATTTTAATAGATAAGACTTATTTTTCAGACATGTTTGAGATCAGGAAGAAAGAAACTAAGCAAATGTCCTTGGGAACTAATATAAACCAGCCTTTAGATGAAAGCTTCATATGTCAGTGATTTCAACCCAGATCCATTATCTTCTTTTGTTTTACTAAAGATGACCAGCAGTCAGTAAAGATTAGGACTTTGGGGGGTTGCAAGTGTCCTCTGTTGAAGTGATTAACAAAAGAAAAAGTTTACGACTACAAACAGGGAGTACTTAAGGGGGTGGGTTTGGGATTGACCCTAGAATAGAAAGAGATTTGGGATTATGTAGTTCCTTGCTTCTCCTGATACCTCAGTGCATATATAAGATGTCGAAGACTCCATAAATTTACACTTGGCTGTCACAGTTACATCATAGACCATGGGAGTGACTACAAAGGCCCCTTGGCATACTTACAGATTGTCTGGGTGAGCCACTATAGTTTCAGCACAATTTAAAATCCTGCCCCCCTGAATCAATGTTCTCATAATTCCCAGTCCACATAATTTTGTGGGAAAAAGCTCAAAGCCCAGGGGATAGGATCTTGTGGTAACATGACTGTTTTCATGACAGCCATACGGACAGAGAAGGGAGAAGAAGTTTCTAGAAGGGATGCTGGGTTCACAGAATAACAGGTATCTTCAAGAGACTGAAAACACAAAACAAAACAAAACAAAACAAAACCAAAAAACCCTGGTTTAATGCCCTCTTTGACCATAAGTTTTCTTACCTGTAAAAAGATGATCTATGCTGAGGATTATTTTAGGAATTAATATTCTATGTCCCACACAAAGGAAAGCTTCCAAACAGTGATGATATGAGAAAGTAAGAGAGATTAAATGATCTTCCCAGATTATCACCATGAGTCAGAAACAAAGTCTAGACGAAAAAGATCTATGTCCAGCCAGGTAAGTGATCCTCTTTCAAAGACAACAGCCCTGGAAATTAACCCCAAAATTACATTTTGGGCTTTAAGAATTACTAGGCTACCAGCAGAAAGTGAGACGGCACAGCCCAAAGCAAGATACTGGCAGATCAATAAGTACAAAGGAGACTGAGGATTGTTCATGTCTGCGCGTTCGTTGGCTTCCTTGACTTTGGATTGACATTGTTATCTCAACTTCCCTCAGGCTTACTCCAAAATATGCCATGACTAACATCTAGCCAATAGATCATGATGAAATGCAATTTAATAATCCCTCACTGCCTGCATCAAAGGGAAAAGTACAGCCGTGTCCAGATCAGTTGGTGTGTTTGTCATCAGGTAGTGGTGACGTGCATAGGCACATAACATCAGCCGCGTCTGTGACGGAAGAAAAATGAAGTGTAAAGAGTCTCATTTCTTAGTGCCTTAAAATAAATCTAAAGGAGAAAATTCTGCCAATTATGTGGAGTGACACGAGAGGTTCTAAATAAGGAAATCAGTAGGGATAACTGCAAGCTAGGCAGTGGTGAGCTATCTGGGGTGAGTTTTAGCACACTTTTCTGAGACCCCTGCCAGTGGCCAGCTTGCTTCTCCCCTCTGTCAACCGCTTCTTTTATTCATCCTTCCTTCCTTCCTACCTCCCTTCCTCCCTTCTTTCCTTCCTTGCTTCCTCCCTCCCTCCCCTCATTCCCCCCTCCCTCCCTTCCTTCCCCCCACTTCTTTCCTTCCTCCCTTCCTTCCTTCTTTCCATTCTTCCTTCCCTCCACAAATTGTGAGCAACAGATTTAGCTGCTCTACACTCATAGTATTTTATATATACCCTGAGTAGCCTTTCTCTTATTTTATTATACCTTTTAATATACCCGTCTTTGACTCCAAATGTCAATTCCTGGAAGTCTGGCCCTGTGGCTCATCCCTCTCTGTCCTCAGCACACACACACACACACCTGGAACTCCTGGATGGTACCCAAAAACAAATTAAAGCATTGTCACCACTACAATATTGGCTGACCACATCCCAAGATGTGGCCGCAGCCAGGTAATGAGAGTCAAATGGTAAAGTAGGG